ACATAGAGTTGTATTGCAAACGTGTTACCAGGGTAGGGAGACACGTTAATCAGTGTCAGCAGGGAAGAAATATTTAGCATCAGTTTGTTTATCCGGGATAAGTGCTTAAAGTGTGTGGAGCACAGGACATATAAATTTTGGTGCAAGAGGAAGTGGGCTATGAAGATCTGGAATAGATGATACAACTGACCCTTCACCAACACAGAAATTAGGAGCACTGAGAGCACCCCCCCCACACACACACACAGTATCAAAAATATGTATATAACGTTTGACTCCCCCCACAACTTAACTACTGATAGCCTGCTGTTGACCAGAAGCCTTGCTGGTAACATAAACAATCGATTAACACATATTTTGTGTATTATATGTAGGATATACTGTATCCTTAAAATAAAGTAAGCTGGAGAAACGACAGTGTTATTAACAAAATCATACAGAAGAGGAAATACATGTACAGTACTCTTCTGTACAAAGTCCAAGTAAAAGTGGAAGTACGCATTTCAAACCCATGCTGTTCCAGGTCAGCTATACTTCCTAGGGAAAAGAAACTGGCAGAAGTAGGTGGGTTCTGGATACTCTAGAAACCTGCATTGTGATAATGATTTTGAGAGAGAGAAAGAATGATCCCAATTCTGGAAAGAATGATCCAAATTCTGGATATGCATCTCAGCCAAGGAAAATTCTAAGAACCTCAAACTTAGGACCCAAAGATAAGAAATATCCAAAGTTACCATCTGCAAAGGGATCCGTACAAATCAGGAAAACCAGATTTATAGTCCAAAAATACCTGGTCAGCACCCAGAGCATAAACTATAACCACAGCCATTTGATGTTGGCCTTCATTTCCATTTTCATTTCCTGCTCCCACGGGGGGGGGGGGGGGGCTGATCCTTACTATTCCATTTCCCAAGTTGCCCTGCCAGCCCCAGCTTCAGAAGAAGAAGGAAACTGGAGGGTCAGAGGAAGGGAGAAGCCAGAGTATTTCTCTCCTTCCCCCACTCAGCAGTGGCCTCCCAAAATGAGGCTCATCTCAGGCCTACCTTTGCCAGCTGGCAGGGGAGGGATGGGCTGGATTGGGCTTTTGAAAAAAAAATTTTTTTTTTCTGTGATTTATTACAGGACAGAGAACAGGCATGAGCAGGGGGAGGGGCAGAGAGGGGGAGAGACACAGAATCGAAACAGGCTCCCGGGCTCCTCCATGCCGTCTGACCCAAACTGACTGGCCGGGCTCAGACAACTCACCAGGACCAGTGAGGATCATTGACCTAGCTGATCGGTTGTGCCAGCTTATTTCATGCCCGGCGCCCCTGGATTGGGCTTTTGAAGGCTGCCTCTCTCCTTAGCCCCTCCATCCAAGCTAGGTTGTCAATCTCCAGCTTGTCATGTCATCCCTTATTTAGCTTTTCAATTCTTCCAACACCTTTGTGATTGCTTCCCTATATGAAATTCCCTGTATTGAACTATCTGGCATGAGCTCTGTTTCCTGCCTAGGCCCTGCTAAAATAATCTACTAACTTACATCATTTTAGCCTAGTGTGCTAAAATAATCTACTAATCTACATCACTCCAGACTCCGATTACTCAATTTAAAGCAGCCCTGAAAACTTACACTTAGCTCATATTGATAGAATCAGTCAGAATTGCTTTACAAACACGAACACACTATTATTTTATTGGACAATTAATAAAGGTAAGTTATTTTTAAAGAAGAGAAAAAGATGACCCAAATTACAAGTTACCACTTACCTATAATTCAAACATCCTGCAATAATATCCCTACTGACAATTTGTTACATTTACTTTCAACCTATTATGTTATTGCATATATACCTTGCCATATATCATTATTTAATTTTTTTAATGTTCATTTATTTTTGAAAGAGAAAGAGAGAGCACAAGCAGGGGAGGGACAGAGAGAGAGAGAGGGAGACACAGAATCCGAAGCAGGCTCCAGGCTCTGAGCTGTCAGCACAGAGCCCGACAAGGGGCTCGAACTCACGAGCCTTCAAGCCATGAGATCACAACCTGAGCCAAAGTCAGAACCTTAACCAACTGAGCCACCCAGGTGCCCCTATGTATATATCATTACTTTAACATATAATTTGTATTAGTGTATACGTATTTTTAGAAACATCTACAGATTTTTATGAATATGAATCTTAAAACTCTCTAGATCTAAGTTCTTTACATTTTTGTGACATGTGGTTTTACTTGAAATTATATTCCTTTCCATAGCAACAAATATACATCGATAGCAACATTAACTAGTAGCACCAAATTCAAATGCATTGTATGCCATCACCTGGATAGACCATGATTTATCCCCTCAACGCTCACTGTTGGACACTTAAATGTTTTTCACTATTATTAATACTGTTGTGATACGAATCCTCGTGGATAAATCTTTTTATCCTTGCTGAAAAATTTCCTGGGTAAAAACAGAATTGCCGGGCATGAGCGTATGTGTTTTTAAGGCTACATATACACACGGCTAAACTGCCCTCCAGAAAGCTGTAAAGATGGTGATTCTTGGATGTCGTGTGTACTTTTAATTGTGCTAATATCAAATAGTGTTGGTAAACGTCCTGACAACCGGAACTCCCTCATTCAATGCCATTATTACTGCTGGCTTATTATAATTGTAATTAAATAACAGTCACTTCCTGAGCGACTATTGTGAAAATCGCTTCCTGAGAATTCACTGAAATGATGACATAATTGCAGGGATTTGGGGGCTGGATCTTGAAGTTTGAGTGTGTTTGGTTTTTCATTGTTCATAAATATTTTTAATTTACAATATCTTTTAAGAAAGTTACTTTGGTCCCGTAGGGAAGAGTTATAGAAGGTTCAGAAAAAGAGAGGGATTAGGAAGATAGGTAACAATGACTTCAAACTTTGATCTCAACATGGCCAATTTCATTGGTTTCACTGCGAAATGCACCAAAATGGATGTCATCTGATGTTGATCACACAAGAGGGGAAGGGAAGGGAAAAGAGGATGAGTTCTAGTTAAAATAATTCTTAAATTTTTTTTTAATGTTTATTTATTTTTGAAGGAAAGACAGAGTGTGAGTGGGGTAGGGGCAGAGAGAGAGGGAGACACAGAATCTGAAGCAGGCTCCAGGCTCTGAGCTGTCGGCACAGAGCCTGACGTGGGGCTTGAACTCACGAACCATGAGATCATGATCTCTGAGCTGAAGTTGGGGCACTTAACCCACTGAGCCACCCAGGTGCCCCTAGTTAAAATAATTCTATCTATTGTCAGGCTTGGCACACACCCAAGGGAAGACATTTTTCGGATAGAAATCTTATGGTTGTGGGTAACAGAAAATCTAACTCAAGCTGGCTTAAATAATAAAGGAAATGTTCATGAAAAGCCTAGTAAAGGCTGATTAGTTCAACAAGGCACCAGGGAACAAGTTTTTCTTTGACTCTCCTCTCTGTCTTCCCCCACATCTTCTTCAACTAGAGGCAGGTGCTCCTCATGGGCACAAAATGGCTACCAGCAACTCCCACAGATCATCTGCTCCTCCAATTATAGTCAATGAGGAAAGAGGACTTCTCCGCCTGTGGTTCCTTAGAGGCTCTAGGAACCATGCTTTCTAGAAGCCCCTGGCAAATGTCTGCATGCATCTCATTTGCCCAAACCACATCACATGACCATTCCTTAACCAGTCACAGTGATGGGGGATGGGCTGTGCTGTTTGGCTTCAGCCACTCAGGACCACCCCTGCTGCAAGTGCCCCATGGGGGGGGGGGGGCAAATGGTCTAGTGAGGGAGCTAGTATCACAAGGGAGAGTACTACATATTGTAACATGACTTCCCAAAGAACTCAGACATCTCCGTATGTCAATAAATATATTTCCATCCTTATACTGTCATCACATTTAATTGCTGTATACTATTCCATTGTTTAGATGCACCATAATTATTTGACCTGTCTTCTACTGTGAAGACGAATAGGGAGTTGCCGTGAGTTTCCTCTTACAAGCAGCATCCCAGGGAGTGGTTTTGCTGATGGATCTCCGTGCCCATGCAGGGATATTCCCACGGGACGCCTGACAGCCGAAGGATCATCATACCCTGAGGCAAGCACACTGGGGCAGCATTTAGGGTGCGCTGACGCATCACCCTTCAGAAAAGTCACCACAACGTATTCTTCCACCAGCTTCACTGAAACCACCCACTTTCCCATAATGTCTTGGCACTTCCTTTGGTTAAAAAAAAAAAAAAAAAAAAAGAATTAGTACTTCAGGCATTCATTTCCAGGCAGGGTAATCCAGATAATGATCTTGCTGTTGTTCCACTAAACTGGGGCTGAGAAAAGTGACTCTTATATTAGAATACAGTTAATTTAACTCTCTTCTTTACATTGACCTGGTATCCACCTCTGAGTAATGAATTTAAGTCTTATGAGGTTTCCCTTATGGCTAGGCAAGGCCAATGATTACCGGAAAGGCAAAGAAAAACCCATGAACAATCACCTGGTTAATTCACTCATAAAACCCTGCTATAGGCACGGCGAGGGGGAAAAAGTACCATTGACAAGATTCACTTCTCCAAATCAGCTGCCTACACCGCCAACAATGATTATTAACATTTCATTCTTTGCTTTGCTTTGAGTATAATGTTAGTATCAAGAGCCTCCATTTATCAAATGCTTGCTACGAGTCAGGAATTTGGCGATGAATTGTCCCAAGGTAAGAATTATTCCTCCTGAGAAAGAGGCCCAGAGAGGTTGAGCAATTTGTCTGAGATCAAACAGCCAGTCACCAGACAGAACCAGGGTAAGAGGCAGGTCTGCCTATCTCCAAAGCCCTTGTTGCTTCCGCTGTGCACATGGCCCCTCTCTGGTGTAGAGGAGGTCACTGTGCTGCCCAGGACCCCTTCCAACCTGATCAGAGATCTTGGATGAATGCCTGAGCCTCCTGCAGCCTGGCGCCATTTGTAATGGTGCACTAACACTTTTTTCTTTCACTTCTTGGCTTCCCATCAGGTTCCAGACAAGCCGATGAAGAGCATCAAGTACATGGACAAGGAAATCATAAGCCTCAAAAAAGACCTTGCACGAAGCCGGTGAGTGAGCCCGCAAGGATTAACCCATAGATGCCCTGACAGAGATGAGCAGGCTACAGGGCAGTCCCTACGAGTCCTTGCTAAATCCCAAGGTCCCCAACACTAAACATTAAGCAGAAGACTTTCAGGAGGGTGTCCTTTGGCTGGACTTTCCAGAGAGTATCTTTACTGGACTAACCTCTCCACTAGCTGCCAATCACTGCCTAGAATTCCCTTTGTGTTCCTTCCTGGACCTGAATCCAACTCAAGACAGTTCCCATGTGCTCCAGAAAAATCTCTCCTTTTTACTCCAGATGCACATCATGGTTGCCCAGAGTCAGACAGACCTGGTCTCAAACACCGGCCCTGCTACCTGCCAGCTGGTAACGTGGCAGAACCTATTGAACCTCCCCGAGTCTCTGTGTCCTCATCTGTAAAATGAATATGATATGAGGTTGTTAGAAGGACTGGGTGAAATAAAGCAGCTAAAGTGCCCCTTGTGTGGCCTTTAACACAATGCCATCCCTATCCAACCTCCCACCCCACCCAACCCCTTCCTGTAAAATAGCATGAACAAACTGAGGTCTAACCCTATCTTAGTCATCTCTGGACGGTGAGCTGGGCTTTTTCTCCCTCTCACCTCTTGACTCTGTCCTGGGACCTGCAACGTTCCAAGGTAGGATCATAAATGGGACTTTTGGCAAAACACCTCAAGGCGCGGGAAGAGATGGAGACTCTCTGAGCACAAAACACGTAAAGATGTGCTGAGAGGGGGGTCATACAGGCAGTGTGGAAGGCCCGTTTATCTTCTGTGTCTCCCACTCTGAACCAGACCACAATGCAAGTCAGGGCAACACATTCTCGTTCTTCACCTCCCTCACTCGGAAGCTCCCTCTGTCTCTACTGCCCATCTGCGTCTCCACACCTTCCCCGTCCAGGAGCACAGCTGATGGTACTGGATGCAAGAGCCCAAGAGGGGGCTGCAAGGTGTGGGCGTGAAAGGTGGGGAGGAAGAATGGCATGAAGGGACGAAGGCACGCATCAACACCCCCTGTCCGGGAGAAACGTTAATTGCAAGCTGTGCATGTAATTTTAAATTTTTGAATAGACGCACTACTATTGAAAAGTAAAAAGAGACAGGTGAAAGTAATTCTAATACCATATTCTATTTAACCCAACACAGCCGAAGTGTTATCAATCATCATGTAATCAATATAAAACATATTGATGAAATACTCTATTCCATTCTTCATACGTGATGAAAAGTGACAAAGTGATACAAAATGAGCAGTGATGAATTACACTCAGGGCACACATCAGTTTGGACCAACCACCTTTCAGGTGCTCAGTAGTTACTATGGACTGAATTGCACACCACCCCCCAATGCACATGTTGAAGCCCTAACCCCCAATGACTATATGTGGAGATAGGACCACTAAAGAGGTAATTAAGGTTAAGTGGGGGTTCATAAAGGTGGGCCCCTGAATCAACAGGCCTGGTGTCCTTATCAGAAGAGGAAGAGACATCATCAGGAAGGTACTGTCTGAAAGCCAAGGAGAGAGCCCTCAGGAGACACCAACCCTACTGACACTTGACCTTGAACTTCCAGGCTCCAAAACTGAGAAAACAAACGTCTGTTGTTTGAGCCATTCAGGCTGTGGTATTCTGTGATGGCAGCCTAAGCAGACTAATAGTCAATGTCGAGGTAATCCTGCAGAGAATGTCCCCAGCTCGAGAGCGGATGGACCCCAGTCTCAGAAGCTCGTGTAGAGCTGAGCACAGGGATGGCATGTGAACTTGGGTCTCAGAATTGAGGGCTCAGACCCACAAGGACTCCTCCATTACTTGTGGACATATTGGCCTCTAGAGTATTTGAACCCAGGCTCGAGAAGGCTTTTGAGGCGCAGGCCTTGGGAACCTTGGGGGGAGTAGTGTCAGAAAGTCAAGAGCTACCTGAATGGGGGCAGCAAAGAAAGAGGCTCGTGTAGCTGAGAAAGAACGCCTCAACTGGGATCTGTACTCTGCTCCACGGCCATGCCTGGAGGACATTCCAGGCTTCAGAAGGAATGGTGCAGCACAGAATTTGGATCAGAGGTGAAGTTCAAAATACAGAACCATCTGTGTGTCATGGGCACCAAACAATCGGAACAGACACCGGCCATATACAACCATTGTAACCAGGTTGGTTCTTACCAGCTGAATATTATCAATCTTGAGGTAGATGATTCTGACCCAAAGCCTCAGCTGCAAATACATACCAGAATCTTGGGAGCCTGAGAAATGAGAGTTTCCATATTAATCTGTATCCTGTAGACAAACAGCTGATAACTAAAGGTACCAACAGACGGCTTGACCTATGTAAATTCCAGATACCAAGACTCAACCCAGCTCAAGGAGGGCGACAAAGCTGAGCCAGCTCAAACCAGAACTGAATGCGAAATTTTCAGGAAATTTGCAAGCCAGTTATTAGACACAGCTACAGTTTAAAATTCAATGATGTGAACTCACAATTAAATGCATCACATTAAAACAAAGGTAATAAATACTCAAAACCCATCACTTCCTAATGATGCCATACATTTCACTCTTCTCTGTGCTCTTGACGTTATTTCTGGTTATGGTATCTGTTTGGTGGAAATATTGTAGAACAGGAGCGGCTGCAGGCAAATGTCTGCCCAGCTCTACATTCACTGACATCACGTCGGTAGCTCAAAATCAGCCACAGTGGAAATATTCACGGCACAGAAATCCACAAATGCTACAAATCAGGGCTTATTTGTACCCCCCTCCCTTCCCCCGCCAAGAGAGATGGTTGTGGAGCATTCACCGGCACATCCCTGGGGACATGCTTCCTCTCCCCCACCAACCAAGGTTGAACTTTGGACTAAGCCAGCAGAACATAGGGGCTTTAGTCAAAAGGTGATAAAGACAGTGGCTTTTCTGCCACCCCTGAGTTGGCAGGCTGAGACTGTCACTCCTGCCAGACGCATTTACCATGGCTCTGAAACTAGCTAGAATTTAACATCCTCACTGGACAGGCTTAGCCTGTCCAAACGCTGGACATGAAAGAGAATGTGGAAAAGGCCACACAGAAAAGCCACAAGCAAGAAAACAAGAAACAACAATAAAGTGTTCCACCTGGCCACGCTCTCGGATTCCACTGACATTTAAGGAAACAGCGAGTCCCCTTCAGAAGGAAACATCCTGCTTTCCAGAGGAAATCTCCCCAAGAGATGCAAACCCTGTGTGCCCATCTCCCAGTGTCAAATGAGGCGAATTATTAGCAAAGATGTTGTCTTTCCCACTTACTGTTTTTCAAACCCACTTCGCCGATTAGACTTTAGCCTACCTTGAACCAAACACCTTGACTACCTCCTAGATTTTTTTTTTAAATGTTTATTTATTATTGAGAGACAGAGAGACAGAGCATGAGCACAGGAGGGGCAGAGAGAGAGGGAGACACAGAATCCGAGGCAGGCTCCAGGCTCGGAGCTGTCAGCGCAGAGCCCGACGCGGGGCTCGAACCCACGAACCGTGAGATCATGACCTGAGCCGAAGTTGGACGCTTAACCGACAGAGCCACCCAGGCACCCCGACTACCTCCTGGATTTTTATTTAATACCTCAGCCCTCTTATAATTCAATGACACCATCCCTAGTTTCATGGCCAGTTTAACATGATGCTAGAAAGAATAAAAACCTAACTGCTTTCCTCCTCGCCTGCTCTGCCAGATGTTCGGTGGCACCAGGCAGCCTGCCACGCGCTTGCTCGTGGAATCTCTCCTAGTGGAAGCTGACAATCGGGGTGTCCGCATGTGCCCAGTTCTTGGACTCATGAAGCCGATAACCTATCTTTCTCCAAAGCTGCTGGTGCTTTTTATTGCAAGTGTTTTAAGGAAAATAAACATCTCTGCAACTAAAACTAAAACATTGACTTGGAGCTATGATCTGCCCATGGCAAAGTTTAGTTAGGTGAAGGCAACTGCAAAGACACAGGGAGAAATTACCGCCCTGCCCCCCCCCGCCCCCCCACAAGTTCCCCAGCAGACCCCAGCAGGGTACAGATTATGCAAGTGTTTGAGATTTTGCTTTAGAGCTCCATTTGGTAGACAGCTGAAGCAAGGCAGTTAGAAATAACAAAGGTGGAATTCTGGCAAAGGAAGAAGCTTTTTTTTCTTTGTAAGAGGTTAGGCACTTCTTGGTTCTTCCTCAGTTTTCTGTGGTCACTCATTTTCATCAACAAATATTGAATATCAGGTATCACCAGGGATACGCCAGGCATGACTGGATATACTGGAGACACGGCAGCGAACAAAACATTCAAAATCCCTGTCCTCAGTGAATAAGAGGCAATGGTGTGCATTAAAATGGGGCAAAGACAACAAACAAATGGAGAAGGGAGTGTTGGTTATATACTATGAGACTATAAAACAAGGTGATGCAGGGCGCCCGGGTGGCTCTGTCAGTTACGCATCTGACATTGGCTCAGGTCATGCTCTCACGGTCTGTGAGTTTAAGCCCTGTGTCAGGCTCTGTGCTGACAGCTCGGAGCCTGGAGTCTGCTTTGGATTCTGTGTCTCCCTCTCTCTCTCTGCCCCTCCCCCGCTCGTGCTCTCTCAGAAATAAATAAATATTTTTAAAAATTAAAAAAACAAAACCACCAAGGTGATGCCTATAGCCTGGTGATGGGGAGAAAGCTGCTATTTTATCTAGAGTGGCCAGAGGAGGCTGTTCTGTAAAGGGAGCTCTCGGCCTGACATCTGGACGGTGAGAACCATTCACATAAAGATATAGGAGGAAGGGGGGTGGAGGACAACAGGTGTATTCCAGAGGAAAACAGTGGATGGGAGCCAAAGTTGGAACAAGCTGGAAGTGTTAGAGAAACAGAGAGTAGCCAGTGTGGCTGGAGCTGAGTGAGAGAGGGTGAGAGAAGCAGTCAATGAAATTAGAGAAATGGACCTCGGGCCTCATAGGCCATGGTGAGCATTTGGGTCCTAGTCTAAATGTAATGAGAATCCATT